GGTGGCATGGATAGATGGGGATGGCATGGGCAGGCGTGCGATGGCGGGCATGGGTGGGTGGGTGGTGGATTGGATGGATACGATAGTCGATGGATGGCATGGTGGTGGCATGGGATGGATAGGGATGGATGCGCATGCGGGAGGTGGCGGGATGCGATGGATAGGATGGCGATGGGATGGGAGGGTTGGATGATGCCGGCTCGGGCGTGGGGTGGGTGGATGATGGGATAGATAGCATGGATTGGGATGGGTGGGTGGCGATGGATAGGATAGATGGATGGCATGCGGGCGTGGGTGGATGGAATGGATAGCATGCGACTGGATGCGCAGCGGTGCGATGGATGGGGTGGGTGGGTGGCGGTGCGGGATCGGATGGATAGGATAGCATGGTGATGCGATGCGGGTGGGTGGGGGTGGTGGCATGGCAGGGATAGATGCATGGGCGTGGCGTTTTTGGCTGTGCGGGCCGTGGATGGATGGGATAGATGGCATGGATGGGAGGGTGGATGGCATGGGCGTGGGGATGGATGGCGTGGGCGCTGGCGTGGATGGATGCGGCGGTGGGTGTGGCGGTGGGCGGTGGGCTGGGATGCAGTGGGTGGGATGGCGATGGGATGGGCGTGGACTGGGTGCGGTTGCAGCGTAGGATGGATGGGGTCGGGCCATTAAATGGCGCGTCATTGGTGGGTCGTGAGCGTAGATAGATGAATGGGGGATGGGGAGTGGGTAGCCATGGGTGGGGTGTGGATGGATGGTGGCATGCGGTGGGTGGTGGATGGCCGCGTGTGGGCCGTGGGTTTGCGTGGCATGCGGTCGATGGATGGATGGCGGGTGGTTGGTGCGGTGGGATGGGCGATGGCGTGGTGCGTGGAGGTTGTATGGGGGGATGATGGGGCTGCCGATGGATGTATGGCGTGGCGCGGCGGGAGCCCGGCCGTGGGGTGGCCGTGGATGGGTGGGTGGATGGATGGGTGTGGATGGATGGATGGCGTGGGGTGGTGCATGGGATGGCGGTTTGGGTGGGATGGTCATGGCATGGCATGGGTGGGCGTTGGGATGGGTGGGTGGATGCGCGTGTGGGTGGCGGTGGGGGGGTTGGCTGATGGAGGTCCCTGGAGCCATCAACTCCATGGAGACAGGGAGCAGAGGGTGGTGCAGGGGCTGGGGAGGGGGAGCTAGTGTGCAATGGGGACAGGGTTGCAGTTTGGGAAGATGGACAGGTCCCAGAGACGGATGGCGATGATGGCGGCACAACAGTGTGAGCCTGCTTAACGCCACTGAACTGAGCACTCGAAAATGGTTAAGACAGTAAATTTTATGTCACGAGTATTTTACCGTAATTAAAGATTTTAAAACTGACAGAGATGCAGGCTGGCAGTGGTCGGGCTCTGTCCTGAGCACCGGGCTCGGTTCTCAACCCACGTGCCCGTCCTCCCTGCAGCCTTGCGGTCAGGAGCCCAGGGACAGCTGCCCACCAGCCCACCCCCATCGGAACAAGCCGGGAAACCGAGTCACCAGCTCCAGGTGCCTGTTCCCTGCTAGAAGAGAAACAAACTCGGAAATTAATGTTTAGAAAATAAAATTTATTCAATGTGATGCAGGGAGCATTCCCAAGGGCGGGGCCAGGAGAAGCCTCCAGGGTGTAGCAACGGCTGAGCCGGCTCTTGAAGGACAGAAAGGAATTTGCTCTGATTTTTAAACATTGTGACAATTATATGACTAATATATATTCACTAGAGAAAAATAAAAATGCAGATAAGCATAACAGAGAAAAAATTTTGTTGTTGTTGTGTTTTTAAAAAATTATTTTAGAGTTAGGGTCTCACTGTCACCCAGGCTGCAGTGCAGTGGCGTGATCACAGCTCACTGCAGCCTCAGACTCCTGGGCTCCAGCAATCCTTCTGCCTCAGCCTCCCGAATCGCTGGGGCTACGGGTGTGCACCACCACACCTGGCAGAGAAATCCCATCGTTCAGAAAAAAACCACCATTAATATTTCAATTTAAATTCCTAAAGGTTTCCCCATGTTTGGGGACATATCAGTATGATGACAGGCAGGAGACAGAGCACACGCAGACTGCATGAGCAGAAGAAAGTGCATATAACTCCACATTCCAAAAATAAAGAACAGAGAAAACAGAGAGTAGAAAATCAGCAAGAGAGTATTTCAGGGAAGTTTCCCCAGAGCTGAAGGACACAAGTTTCCAGTTGGAAAGAACCGAGTGCATGAAAACGGACACACTCCAGGGCTCCTCACTGTGAAATGCTGGACCAGTTGAGGCAAAGGGAAGATTCCGTAAGATTCCAAAGAGGAAAACGCAAGTCACACGCAAAGCCCAAGGAAGCACAGTCTTCCAGACTTCCCAGCCGCTGCCCTGGAAGCAAGAAGGCAAGGGAGAAACACTCTTTTAAATTCCGGACGAAAGAAATGATCTCCAACCCAGAATTCTATGCCCAGCCCCACTATCCCTCTGGGGAAGTGGAAGATAAAGGCACTTTCAGACATCCAAAGTCCTAAGCATTGTATCTCTCATGTATGCCTTATCAGAAGTTACTAGAAGATGTGCTACACAAAATGAGAAAATAACCAAGAAAATATAGTCTGTAGGCAGCAGGAGATCCAGAGGAATTTCCCTAGAGGATGGCCGCAGGTGTGACGTAGAGGTCCTAGTCCACACTGGAGCAGGGCGGCTGTGGAGCCAGACGTGGGGATGCCCCCCAACCCCCATACTGTTTCTGCAGCCCTTGCACCCTCATTTCATGTGGGAGAGGCGGGCTCAGATTCTTGTCCTAACCACGTGCAAACGAAGTCCCCACTTCCCCCTCGTATTGTGTTAATTTCCCGTGGCTGCACTAACAAGCTACCCCAAACCTCGTGGCTTAAAGACAGCACGGAACCTTTAGCTTACAGTTCTGTAGGTCCGAAGTCCAAAACTGGTCTTGCCGGGCTAAAAGTCCAGCGTGGACAGGGCTGCTTTCCCTTCCGGAGGCTCTAGAATCCTCTTTCTTGCCTTTGCCAGTTTCCTGAGGTCTCCGTGATCACCTTCCTTGGCTCACAGCCCTTCCCCCATCCTCGAAGCCAGAAGGCCGTCACCGAATCTTCCCCATGTCCCTCCATCCTGATGCGACTCTCCCGCACCCCTGGCTGTCTGAGGACTTTGTGGGCACCCCCAGACAACCAGGGCATGAGGTCAGCCTCAGCAGCTGTGAGTCCGGCTGCGACCTTAATTTGCACCCCCAGTGCCCCCTGCACTCTTGTCCCCCCTCCTCCATGCTTCTGCTCTGGCCACACTGGCCACCATTGCCTCAGGGCCTTTGCCCTGGCTGTTCCCTCTGCCCAAATGCTGTTGCCCCAGACACGGAGGTGGCTGCCTCGTCACTGCCTGTTTGAATGTCACCACCCCAGTGAGGGCCTTCCCTAACCAGCATGATGAAAATCATGCCTTCCCCTCGTCCTGGTCCTCACCTCTCTTCCTCCCTGTGTGCCCGGTGCGCTAGAATGTCCTAGCCGGCTATGCCAGGCCCTCGCGGATCTTGCTCACTGCCGCCTTCTGCAGGAGAACGTGGGCTGGGCGTAGGGGGTGGGGAGTGTCCGTTCCAGTCACTGCTGCACCTCGGGGCCTGCAGCTGTGCCAGGCTCGCAGCAGGTGTGTGACAGACGCGTGTCCCTCGCAGGGGGAGAAGGCTCACTCACGCTGCAACCTGCCGGACCCCGGGCGTGAGTCAGCCCTGTGTTCCCACTGGCTTCCAGCCGACGCCCCCTGGCAACACCTGGGGCGGACGCCGGCTCGGGTCTGGCTCCCCTGCGCTCCGAGCCTTCGTCTCCCCAGGGTGCCGCTGCCTCCATGACGTCCGACGTCCGTCCGCAGCCCCGCAACGCAGAGCTGCAGCATTTGCCCGTCCTGGGCACGTCGTGTGAGTGTCGTTGTGTAATATGTGACCTTTCGAGATCGGCTTCTTTCACCGAGCACCAGGTCTCCCAGGCTCGTCGGCGTCACGGCAGGTGTCTGTGTCTCCCTCCTTTTGGTGCCGAGTGCTACTCCACCGCGTGCACACGCCACCGCGTGCACACGCCACCGCGTGCACACGCCACCGCGTGCACACGCCACCGCGTGCACACGCCACCGCGTGCACACGCCTCGGCTCGCTCATCTGTTATAGGCGACGTGAACGCTCCTCGTTCTCGTTTCAACTGGATTAAAGCTTCCGCAGTGGAGTCTCTGCTGCCCGCCGGACTCACTCTAGGCTCTGGGACACCCGGGAGGACCGTAAACTTCTGCCGGGGCCGGCACCGGTTCCTGGGGAAGGTTTAGCAGTTGTTTAACCTCAGCCTTATGCTTCAAAAGCAAAGGCTTTAAAAGCAGTTTGCGGATTTAGCACTGTTTTCAGCATTGAGACCTGGCTGTGCTGGGCTGACCCCGGGAGGGAGCAGCTCTCTGAGGTCCTGGGCAGAAAAAACCGGAAAGGAGGGCGGCAGGGATGGGCGAGCGGGTGCCCCATTATTGAGCAAAAGCAAAGCACAGGCCAGAGGAAAAGCACTAAGTGCCTCTTTGATTGGGAAGGCGCTCTTCAATGAATGACATCATCCCGGGAACATAAATCTTGGTTTGCATGATTTATTTATGTTAAGAAATCCACATACGATGCCGAGTTTTCAATGGCTTTGTTTAAGTGATAGTTTTTCCTTTTTAGTGAGAGTCGGAGGATGCTAAACAGCTGCAGCTGTAAAAATTAAAGCCAGAGGTGAAGCCAAGGTGATTATTACAGAAAAATGCTGAGTGGGGAGGGGTCCTTGGCCCTTCCCTCCTCTAAAATGAAAATTACCCTCTGCCACAATGTGCCACGAACAATTACCTGCTGTTTATTAATTAACCTCTTTTAAAAGCACCACATTTCTACAAGAAACTGTTATTTCTCTAATGTGAAAACTGGCTTATTCGTGTTTATGAGAACAACTATGTCCCATGTGGTCCGGGCTTAGTGCGCACTTAACTGACACATATATTTTTTTTAATGACACATTTTATGATTGGAAATACCTTACTAGAAGCCCCAATACTGAGCGTGGCTCACTTGGTGCGTTAGTCTCAAGTGGAGCCCCCAAAGCCACTGGCTGGGGCACAGTCCTGGGCTGGCCACCCCAAGAGTGGGTGGTGGGACGGAAGGGGGCCCCAGGCTCCCCGGTGAGAGGGTGGACTCGCGGCCGACTCTTTCTGCACCCAGGGGAGTAAACGTCTTGGTCATTGTCAGGAGCACACGGGTGGGTGGATGAGGGGCCTGGGGCCTCTGGAACTCAGGCTTCTGGCGCCACATGAACCCCAGAAACGGGTCCCAGGCAGAGCCCCTTCCATGGTGGCACCTGCGTCCCCATGCGTGCCTGGGAGAGCACTGCCTTGCAGGGTAAACCACCTCGATTAGGGGCTGTGCGGCGAGGGAGCTTCTCCCCGAACCCTGCCCCTGCCTCTAAGCACAGGTCAAGACGCCAGGGCTGCAAGCACCTGTTTCCCCTCTGTAAGGTGGGAGCAAGCTCAGTGCCCACTGCAAGGGGTCACTGTGGGGGTCATTGTGAGGGTCACACGCACCACCTTGCAACCCAAGGGCAGGCAGGAGGCAAGCGGGGTCACATTCAGCTCCCTGCCTGAGCTCAAACACTGAGCCCAGCTTGAACATTCCAGGCCAGGGAATGCTATGGGTAGACGGAGCTTGTCTCCCAGAACAGCCCCCCCCAACCCCCTCCATCTGTGGACGGACACAGACGCGTCATCTGCTTTTGCGGCCTCTCCCCATGGCTCACATCCCCCCTCCCTACCCTGCTCCCCGTCATCCTATGGGGCCCCTGAGAAAGTCAGCTTCCGTTTCCCGACACATGTGCAGGGGACCCGGCGGCTTGCTCACTGCCGGGGCCCTGCAGCATGGGCAGGTCAAGGAGAGGTGGCTCAGCCTTGGGGGTTCCACGCAGTCCCTGCCCACGGCCGTTGCCACCATCACCCTTGCCCTCGTGTCCCTCAGGTTGAAACCCACTGCGGAGATACAAGGGCAACATCCTACTCACTCGGGTCTCTTCCATCATTCATTCACGACTCATTCATTCATTCACTGAGCACTGAACATAGTCCAGGCCGTGGGCCAGGTGACAAAGCCTGGGTTAGAGGTTTGTAAGATGCCCTGGAGGCTCCGGGTCTGGTGGAGGAGACCCCCCCTGTTTCACCCACACCACCAGGTGCTGAGTTCCAGGAGCGCTCAGCCTAGCCGCCACCCCAGCCACAGGTGAAGGAATGAGTGAATGAATGCTGGGTCCCAGGCATGAGACGAGACCTGTGGGAAGCACTGACTGCAGCAGCCAGGAGAGGAGCTGGCCCTAGGCAGGGGGCGGTCAAGAGGGGCGGGGGCAAAGAGCAGGCAGAGCCCCCACCTGTCCTGCCAGCTGCTGCTCAGAGCCTCCAGGGGGTGCAAGCGGGAAGGTGGGGGGCTCCCTGGCCCCTGCAGCTCCCGGAAGCGCCAGGCCTCCACCTGCAAGCCCGTGCCAGGTTGTCACCCATTGTGCTTTAGGAAATTGGACTCCCGGGAAGCTGGAGGGGCGACTGTAGGTCCCAGAGGATGGGGCAGAAGTTGAGTCTGACTAGGCTGAAGCTTCTCAGCTGTCTGCCACCTGGGGTCCCTGTGCTGACAAGTGTGGGGGCAGGGAGCTGACTGTGGTGGGGGGGTAGGGCCACCCAATCCCTCCTAAGCAGAAGCCTGCCCTGGGCACCCCACTGGGGTTTCCATTATGAATCCACTGACATCATGGGGGCGACAGAAGCTGCCTTTTTCACTCCAGTCCGCAGGCCCTGCCCACGGCATGTCCTCAAGGAGGTGACCTGTGGGGGCTGCAGGGTGCCCACACTGCAAGCAGGTGTCTTCCCTGCCGAGGGGGGCCATGACCTTCACCGGGGGCCTCCGCACCAGGCCGAGGGACTCTGGGTGCAGAGGGAAGGTTGTGGGGCGAGGGCGCTGCACAGCCGGGCTCTGGACACAGGGATTGAGCAGAGCTCCCCGGGCTGATTGGCTTCCTCCGGCCTGGGCATGGGCGCCGAGGGGCCGGGAGCACACGGCCTGTCCCGCAGAACGCCTGACCGAGCCCATCACCTTCGGGTCACTCCGCGGAACTGGTCATTGTTTCCCTGCCAGGGTGGTCCTGGTCTCTGCGCTTTGCTCCCCAGCGCTGCCAGCCCCGTCTCCAGAGCCGCCTGCGATCGTTGGCAGAAATCAAAGAGGGGAGGGGTGTCCCTGGGCGCCGCCCTGCCGTCCCGCTCCCTCCCCTCCCGCGCCGGTCGGGCCCAAAGGCAGTGGGAGGCCTGTTAGGTTCGCTGAGGCCACGCCCCCTCCCTGGCTTCCCTCACTCCCGGCTCCTCAGTGGTCACCCTGAGGGGCAGTTCGTGACGGAGCCCCAGCTTCCAAGGTCTTGCCCGGGGCTCCTCCCCGCCCAGCCGGGACTGCAGCCAGCCCGCAAGACCTGAGAGTCCGAGGTGGGACGGGGGCGGCCTATTCTCTCCTAAGAGCGCTGTTGGGACCACTGTCGCCTGCCCTTCCTGCCTGTAGCCAGTGGGCCCACCTCCCGGCGACTCCCTCCTCCCCCAGCCCACCCTCGCTGCCTCCCTCCCTGCCTCCGCAGGACTTTGGGTGCTGGGCAGTGCCGCCCGAGGTTGGAGCCTGGTGCCTTAAACCTGCGGGCGTTGTGGGCCCAACGGAGAAGAGCCCGGGGTGAGCCAGACCCCCTCCGGGAGCGGAGGGGAGACCCTCCCGGCCCACGCAGGAAAGCTGGGGCGGGGGAGTGAGGAGAGGGGCCGTGAAGGGCGACACGGCTCCTAGAGTAACCTTGGTCAAGGCACCCCCGCGGACCCCCACCGCGCAACGTGGCCCCAAAGGGGTCGGCTGTTCAGGGTCCCAGCCAGGTGCTTTCCATCCATCCTGCTTGCTCCCGCCAACCCCACAATAAACCGCTGAGAGGAGAACAGGTGTATCTGATCCCATTTTACAGGTGAGGGAAACTGAGGTGTGGAGAAGAAATCCCTCGCAGCTCCTCCACCGTTACACCTGAGGGTGTCAATCCCGCAGGATCAGAGGCAAAGTTTGGTTTTCAAACCAGGAGGGTCAGCAGTGTGGGTTTGTCTGCGGCGGAGAGGACAGGGAGGAGGCGGCTTTGCAAACCGAGATGTGGATTCAGGAGCAAGCTAATTCGGGCCGGGTCAGTACCCTCGGCTCGGGAGGTCTCAGCACGCCGAGGGCGGGCTCCCGCCAGGCGATCCCCGGGACTCCGCAGCTGCCCGGAAGGCGACGCGGCGGCTCCTCGTTCTCGTGCTGCCCGGGCCCTGCCCGCGCGCGGCAGAACTGGGTGCAGAAGGCAGCGGCCACGTCTACGCAGGCGGCGTTCTGGAGCGGCCCCTGTGCCGCCTCGGCTGCGCGCCGTCCCGCGGGCGCCGCAGGACCAACCAGGGCGCTCCGGGGAACGAAGTTGCCCCGGCGTTGCGGGCGGGGCCGCCGGCCCCTCGGCTGCGGCCGGGTCTGGCTCACCCGGGCTTTTCTCGCAGGTTCCTTTGGGCCCCGCACGCCCGCAGGTTTAAGGCACCAGGCTCCAACTCTCCCAGCACCCAAAATCCTGCGGAGGGCGGGAGGGTGGGCAGGGGGAAGGAGGAAGCCGCCTGGGTCGGTGGGAGGCCCAGGAGCACACGCAGCGCAAACCCGACAGCGGGATTCGTTGGCGGATTTTTAAAGGTTCCGCAACCCAGAGGGAAGGCGTGGGAAACGGATTCCGTTTACTGCCCCCCGTGGGCCGAGCCTGCGGGCAGTTGGCAGAGCCCCGCAGCTTCACCCGCCCGGTAACGCGTGGCGGCGGGAAGGAGTCGTTGACGGCTTCCCCAACCTTCTTGGAGAGCCCAGTTGGGCCAGACGCGGGAGACAACTCCCTCTTGGGCTCAAAAGAGGGAGGTCAGGGGGCTTCAGGGTCACAATCTCGATCTCAAAACGAAGCAAAACAAAAAACTCCTGATAGGACCCTCAAAGGGCACTTGGCTGCAGCACCCAGGACGCCCCACACACCTTCTCGGGAGAGCCTGGCACCTGCTGGGGACTGCAGGACACAAAACTGGGCAGAGGGACCCCGCTGGGGCGGTGGGAGGCCACGGCTCCCGCGCTTGCCCACGCCCAGCCCTCCGGAGGCTGCGGGGCTGCAGGGCACGGCTGCCTCCCCACACTGGAAACAAGCCGACTTCCAAACATCTGGGGTTTGTTCCGAATCCATCGTCATGGCTCACGTTCCTGGGAAGCCTTGCTGGGGACTGTCCCCACCCCTCGCAGGGACCCACTCTGGGTCCTGGAACCAGTGTTGGTGCTGGGAGGGCCGGCACCGAGGGAGCACCGCAGGGAACAGCCTCACCAGGCTTCTGAGCTCACCGGGACCTGTGTCCTGCCCTCTCAAAGGAGTCCGTGTCGTAGCAAGGCTTCCCAGTCTTGGGGGTGGGAAGAGGTCAAAAGGGGGCCGAAATGTTGACCCCAGAGCCAGGGGGACTCCCGTGTCCCCAGTGTGGAGCTGCGGTTGTGATGCTGGGCAAGCATGCACTTTGGGGCATTGGGAGGCCCGGGTGGGGAAGAAATGGCTTTCCAGGTGGGGCTAGCTTCTCACCCCAGGCTGGATGGCATCTGCATTCAGCCCCCATCGAGAGTCCCCTGCTGGGCATCCAGTCCTAGAAACAACCTTCACTCCCCCTCTGACTAGTGGGAACCATGGCTGCTCCTCCCGAGGGACCCAGGAGGTCCCCAGCCTCCTGTTGCTCAAATCTGGGAGACGTTTTTCACCAAGTGTGCGCAGGAGAATGTGCCCAGAGAGCAAAGCCCTCATCTTGACCCGACTCAGTGGTCCAGATGTTGGGCATGGGGCAAGGCTGATGGTCTAGATCCCCCCTGGGGCAGTTCTGGATCTCAGAGGAAAGCCCATTGGTAAGCTAGAGAGATGATGAGCTTTTTATTCTCCAGGTTGCCCTTGAGGACCAGTGGGGAGTGGGGGTGCTGAGCTAAACTTGATCTGGAATCCAACAGAGCCTGAGGCTGCATGTCTCAAAGTCATTCCGGATAGCACCAAGGAATGGGAGGGGAAGGGGCCAGAACCCAGCGAGGTCCCTCAGGGTCCTACACCTTGCTGGTTCCCACCTCCTGCACACATGGTCCGAAGCAGGGGGCTCCGTAGGACCTGAGTGCCTGGGTGGGGTGGCTGGGGCAGCTGTGACCCCACACCTCCTTGCACACACACCACCAGTTGGCATGGGGCACAGGGCCTGGCCAAGCAAAGAGACCCTCTAGCCCCGAGTGCATTCGTGGACCCGGGGAGTGCAGGGCGGGGTGGCATGGTTTTACTACTCATGGGCTTCTGGGGCACCCCTGGGGCTTGGGACCCTCCTTACTCCTTCCTAGTCCAGCACTGCAGGCTCGGCCTCTCTCCCTCTCACATCTGGCCCTTCCCCAAAGGAGTTAATCGGGACATGGGCCTCCAGCCTCTGGAAACACGGAATTTCCGAGGACTCCCTCCGTGCCCCGCGCCCAGCAGAAGGTGGTAAAAGTCCCTTCTCCAGCCTCCAGCCCCCAGCGATGAGGCTGGCTCTGCAACTCGATAGCAGTGCACACCTGTCCAGCGCAGTGGGCACCTACTCGGCCAATCCACACTCGCTTTCCAGGGACAACTCAAGGGGGTCACTGGGAGCTGGATAGCACTTCAGCCCCGGTTCGGGGTCCCTGAGGAGTGGCATCAGCCCTGAGACTCCGCAGAGCTGGACTCGGTTTGAAACCTGCCCCTAAACCTTTTAGTATCCACCTTTCCCCTACTGGGCCCCCACTTATGCCCTCAAGTCCCCAAAAGTGTTTGCCAGGCAAGGACACACAACAGGGCCCCAGGGAGGACTTGTGTCTGACCTTCATTCTCCACAGGACGCCTCCATGCCTGACTCCTTGCTCTCTGCTTCTAAGTCTGGCCACGCGGGGGCAGGGCCTGGCCAGGCCAGGGCCATGGCCTTGGGGACAGCCTGCTCCGCTCCTGGAACAGGCTGGGGAGACATCGCCCTTCCGCTGTGGCACCTTGGGGTCTAGGCAGCTCAGCTGTCTCCCTGGTCAGCCTTGACCCCCAGATATTCCTCCCCAGGCATACCCAGAGCAGCGGTGTCCCCCTCCACCCCAGCAGCCCTGACAGCCCACAAGGAAGAGATGGCACAGCCATGCTCACTCCCAGGCCTCCTGTACCCCCCCTTCTCTAGGCCCTAACACAAGCGCAGCCTCTGGGATGGGATGGCAGTCCTGGCCTATCCCTGCCAGGCTCTGAGAACTGCCTCCTGAGCCGGAGGGGGGGCAGGGAGAAGGCCCGTGTGAGCTAGGGTGCCCCCAGAAGAAGTCTGGGCCTTCGCAACCTTGAAGCCTGCTGGCAGCCTCCAGTACGGAGGAAAAGGAGGCCAGTCCTGGGCTGGGGGATGGGAGGAGGGACCCTCTCTGCAGGGGGGCACTTCACAAGCACAATGCTGCCTCCCCAGGCCTCATTCCAAACCTCTTGGGAAGCTCCCCGCAGGAGCAAGGGAGCCCAGAGTATGGGATGACCTTGAGTCCATTCAGGCCAGCAGCCCCAGCCAGGTTGGGCCCACCTGGAGCCTGCCCTTGGCCAGGGTTAGGCAGGGCAGCTTGTGTTCCTGGGCTAGAGCA